CCATATGTGGTAGAAACAATGTCAGTGGGCATAAAAAGAATATGATATTCTTCTTAACTATTTATCAAAATGTATATTTTGGTTGGTTGATTTGGGGTCTATTGCTTGTTACTATTTTATGACCATCATTGTTCAATTGCAATGTTTGGTGGGGTCACCTAGATTGACCTTTCACAGTTATCTCTGGCCATGACTTACAGTGGTGAGATATAATCATGTACATGCCATCATAAGCTCTTGCATTTAAATTACTAAATATTTATCTAGTGCTGTGTGACATTAGAACAGACCAACACTACTGAAACCTAAAGAGTTATGGAAGAATACCTAATCAAAATGCACAAGGTGAGAAAATGGTGTTGCAGATGGATTATAATTTTAATTTACTGCTCTGCAAATAACTTGAACTTTGGAAGCGAAATTCTGTTGGAGACAAATTTTTAGTCATAGTTTATAAGTGCAGTATACTATATAGAAAATATTTGGATTTTGAAGACACACACTCTCTCTAGAGGTGTGACTTTACAGTAAATCGCCACTAATTTTGTTTGAATTTTTTGATGAAAATCTAAAAAAATTAACTAATAAAAATAAAATTGTCATTCTGCACGGAAGACTTTGTGTTGACCAAGATCCTGTGGTAACATGTTGGCCCTATAGGACAGCCTAGGGCTAATTTTCCAGCCAAGACCAATTTCCCTTCTCATATGATTTTGCTTCAACATCTGGAATCACTGCATCCTTTGTGTTTTCCAGTAATGTAACCCCATGAATGTTAGTTGTTTCAACAGATTTTAATGTATTTATCAAACTATTGAAGTGTGGCAGCGAAGATGACAAATGTTAGTGGGATATATTGATCTGGTTGTTGGGGCTTGCATTCAACTTAATATTGGTGTGTTCCATGAAAATAATACTCCTACCACAATGAACAGGACATCAATCAATAAAGAAAATTAACCCAGTCTTTACTGTGAGAACAAACATACATATACTGCATTAATAATACAGTACTGTATATATTTACTTTCTACTATATTCATTTATTCTAAGATTTATTTACTATTTTATATATCTTATAAGTAGAAATTTCTAAAATAAGTTGCCCATGGTATGAAAATATATATGCACAAAATAAAAAAATTATAAGGGCAAAATAGCTACAATAATTTTAATGAACCTCTAACCTCTGGTAAGTTCAAAATTATTTCCTGTAGCAGTTGGAATGTTGTGATTGTTTCAACAGCATATCTTTCTTGGTGTGTGTATATATCTATCTGTTGACCGAGAAAAAGCTGGCTTAAGTTGAAAAAGAGGCAGAAAAAGGCCTGTGTAATCTACTCTAATAATGCAACCTTACATACCCGGGCTGTGATATAATGTACTCTCGGGTCCCACCTGCACTCTGAAAATTTTTCCATTGGTTCCATTTCTTATGGTAATAAGTAGAACCTGGACCTGAAAAAACATGCGTACCAGGTAGAAAGTGATGTGCGTCAGTAGTCAGACAGCTACAGATATTTTCTCATCTGGGTGTACTTTTGCTTTTTCTAGCATTTCTCATCCCTTGTTTAATTGTTGGAACCTCTGTTGAGCTTTCTCTCTCCTTGGTGAGTCTTTAGATATTTGTTGTGCATTTCTTGATGGCAGCAGCAATGGCAGCAAAGTATCTTGTTACTTGAAGGTTTGGGAGAGTTTGGGGCATGGATGGCTGAGCGGAATCTTCTTGCTTTGGGACAAGTAGTAAATGAATCTAAAGGAACCTGAAAATCCATTACAACATCAGAGCAAATTTTGAAAATCTACACACACTCACATTGGGTCTCATTTTGTGTGTGTTTCTGCATTTTTTGGATTATCGTTACAATTGGTTTTGAAATGTAATCATAGTTTATAGTTTACGGAAGGAAACATTGGGTAGTCTTGGGTATTAGTATTAGCTTTTAATCTTGTGATCTTTTTTTTTTTTTTTTTTTTTGGTTATAGCTATATTGGTGATTTTGGTTAATGGACATTTTATGATGTATCAGTAAATGAAGTAAAAACAACCTGACAAACTTTTGTATTCACCCCCACCTCCTTTAGACGTTTACACATGGTGTCATCTTGCCTATCAATTGCTAGGCATTATTATATATAGTTGATCATTTACTGTGTCCCCGATAATGTTATTATTTTTGTAAAAATATTTTTTTTAATGGAACTGACTTTGATAGGCATTACTTTATATTTTGTCTTTATTCAGGCATGTTGGGTCATGAGACCAGCTGTTTGCTTTGTGTGCATTATGTTAAGTGTCTTGAACACTAAATTGATATTTTTACACAAATGAGGAGTTTATATATTTTGTGGGTGTTTGTTCTACAGGTTAGTAGTTCTCTTTGTAGAAATATTTTTCTAGACATAGTTTCCTTCTTATCTCTAACTTTTTATTTCTCTTGCTCTACTTTTTCTATTTTTTTTTGTTTTCTTTTTTAATTTCTCTTATCTCATTCTTTTTCTTGTTTCCTTGTCATTTGGAAGGTGAGTGAGTGTGAGGAAAGGAGGTGAGAGTTTGAGGGTGTGCGTTGCCCCTAAAGGGTTGTATCGTTTCTCTCTCAGCAGTGTGTGCCTGCTGTATCAATAGGTTTATTTATTTAATATATTTATTTATATGTAGCTTTAGGATTTAACTAATCAGGGTTATTTGGGGTAAAAAATGGTATTTTTAATTAATTAGAACTGGTTTTACATTTAATATCAAGGTATTTCCCATACCTATGTCTTGGCTGGAATGGTGGGGCTAGCTGTTGCCTGCGTTCACCAGTTTGTTTTATTTATTCATTTACCTATGGCTTTCCGCGACTTACAGGGAGTTAGGGACCCAAATCCAGGTTGTAAGTTGAGGCTAAGTAAAAATGCTTAAATAATAAATAGAAAATCTAGATAGGTTTCTCTTTTCTTCTCAGCTCAGCTTCTCCTTTTACACTTGTAGCCATTTTTAAAGGTGAATTACAAACAAAATTTTGTCTGTTATGGGGTTGGGATTCGAGATGTATTTGATGAAATTTTTTTGAATGGGCAGGTTGATGGCTGGAATTAATTAGTCTAAATGTGGTAGTTCTGATAGTGAGGATGTATTTATTCTCCTTGGATCTGCCTATTATGGTGTATGTTTCATCATAAATAACATCTGTGGCGTTAAATATATAACAAAATACAATACAGTATATAATTTGGCTTCATATGGGCAAGCTAGTCAGGGGTTGCTTTGTGCTGTTCTACCGTAATTTCTTCCCTGTTCAGTTTATTCCTCTCTCTGTAAGTGGGGGGGACTGGTGTGCCATTTGCCCAGTTTGTTTGTTATTTTACTTTAATTCTGCAGTCAGGCTATTATTTTTATATGTTATCACATTACAGGAATTTGCCAGGGATAATGTGTTCAAGTTTTGGAAGGGAGTTCAGCGTTACTTTTAGCTAATAACTTGGTAACTTGGTTTGGGTGAGGACAACGGTAGCCTGTGGCAGGTGATGTGCTTGTACTGAAGTGTTATGAAGAATGTGGCAAGTGTGGTGGTTGGTGGGGCAGTCATCTGCAAGCTTTGTGAGGTGGTGAGAACAAGTGAGTGGGTGTTAAGAGACGGGGTATCCACTTCCGGACATCTTTACAGAAGAGCGGAAGATAGCCAGTGATTTTGAGACATGAGAGGTATTGTAGTGGTGTGGTGGTGCTGGTAAGACCAAAGGCATGACTCAGCAGCAGGTGGCAAGGTTCTCGCAGGTTGAAGAACTCAAGGATGATTTGCGTGTTGGGCAGCTGCCATGATGATGAACTCCGTTTGAATTTGGGCAGTCTGGTTGAGACCTTACAGACAACTTGCAGGGAATTTATTAAGCATTGCGCAAGCTCTTATACCACCTGTTTTTGCCTCAACAATGTGAAGAAATCAAGGGAATTCAGTGACAGATTTCTACTTGGAGATTGGTGAAGCTTGGTTGCTTTTAATGTCTGGGTTGGTTTTGAAGCTCTGAATATGAATATTGCCTACTCAGATCACATTGTCTCCCAGGGCTTTTTGCCTCACTATTTGATTGGAAGCATGAATATTTGTTTATTTAATATAACAGATGCGTAATGGCATTATTTGTCGTTTTTGGAAGATTAGGTTGGTTTTAGTTATTGCTAGGTAAAGGTTTGACGTTCCATTACATAAACAATTTAACGCTGTTAAATGCATTTTACTAGTGCGGATATCAGGATGTGTGTGAAAGGTGTATCAGTTACATTTTAAAGATGGTTGATCTCCTGATACAGTACATATATTTAAAAAGAATTCAATAATATATGTTTTTGCAAAAGTATTTTTATTGCCTTTCCATACATAAGGTAGTAGTTATTACTTTAACTTAATTTATTAATTTGCATTTTCCAAATAAGGGGTGGCGAATTTAACTTCAGTTAAGTGGGATTAACAATTTTATAGGTTTTTCACACTAACTTAGTATATAAACGGTAAAAATATTCCTTAAAGTTAGCTAGATTTATGTTTTCATGCCATTAATTTGATTAAACTGGATTTACTGTGATCGTCAGACAAAAATACAACATAGGGGTGACTTACACAACAAACGAGTGCAACACATAGGCTCATAAGTTGGAATAAAACACAAGGACTCTGCGGAAATTAGGTGTAGTCCTCAAAGTGAAGACAATGATGAATATATTAAGAACATTATTGATATTAGTTTTCATTTTTGACTCAATTTTATCTACATCATGTAACTAGGAAAACTCCTATAATGGTTCTAATGCGATTCATATTTAAGACCTTGGTTAATTTAATTTGGGACTCCATTCAATTTTACACCATTATTTTCTTCATTTCAAGTAATCAAAAATAAAGCAAAATTACATTTTCTTATAAATAATAACTAAATCGATATATATTATAAAAATCTGCTTTCAGGAGGCTGCAGACTTGTGAAGATGGCCTTCCAGCATCGCTAAATAGTAAACTCATGCAGCTAGTGGGACCTTTTGTTTTCACGCATCTGAACAAGAAAAGGAGAAAAAACATTCTCAGGTTTCTTACGGCTCATTTTTGTGTCCTATTCAGCATGGACAAAGAGCAAGACATGATAGAGCTGGTTCAAAACTACAAGATGTGTTAAAAGCGATATGAAAAGGTTTGAGGGTCTGTGGATTATTATATGGAGCAAGCAATGAACATAATATTATTTTCTGAAGTGGATCCATTAACAGGAAGCATTAAAATTAACTGAGGACGTGAAAAACACACTTGACGTAATACCACCAACTTCAGGTACACCATCAAATTCAGCATCATAAGCAGCTGCAACAACTTCAGGTTCAGTAACAGTTTCAGCAACAGCTATGATATCTTTATGGAAAGCTTCAGCTTCAGCCAGAGTTGAACCTGATTGTGAAATCATCTGAGTAAAAACTCACATCATTGGCTGTCATATGTTTTAGACTTCGCCATTGTGAGTAAATTTTTTGTTTACATTAGTAAGTATTATTTAAAACATATATGAACAGTAATAAATGTTGCTTTGTATTCTTATGAAGAGAAATGACATGTTTTCACATCGCTTACATACAATAAGTTTAGTCTATTTCGTTTTACTTCACCATTAATGGTAACAGTGGGTACTTCTATTGTTCCATGTATTAACATTAAATAACATTACAGTTAACCCTCACTTTAGCGGTTAATGTAACCGGAGGGTCAGCGTAAAAGTGAGAAGCGCGTAAAGTGAATAACATAACATATGGGATTAATTGAAATGAGTCGGGCGATCCCCAAACTCCACTTTTTGTGACACACAACTATGTTGTAGTAAAAATATTATCTTGACTTTATGATGGTATGCACACACAATTAATAATTAAAATATCAATAATATTGGGTTTTTTACTCTTACATTAGTAGAAAAAATGGCTGGGCACACGGGGATGGGGGTTGGTTCGAGGCAGAGGGCAGATTATTGGCCCTCACCTTGTCACTTGTATCAAATGTATCACTATCACACAGGAGGCTCAGGAGGCCTCTTTGTCAAACTCCCAAAGTCCATATAAGTCCATATCCTCATAATTATCACTATCACTGACTTGGGCTGCTGTGTGGAGGGTGGCGGGTGAAGAACTGGTAATGTTTTTGATGACTGGGCGCCATGCTACCATGTTCGCAGCTTACACAACATAGCGGTTGGCGGGAGGTTTGGATCCAAAAATGGCGGCTGACTCGCCAGCCCCTCTCTTTACGTAAAGGGGTACACACACAGCGGAATGTGAGCATCCTGGGTTCGGCAGGGCACAGCGTAGCGTGTGAAGCGGGAATGCGGGACAGCGTAAAAGTGAGGTTAACTGTACAATACATACATATTAATTTTTTACATTAAGTTTACTACAACAACCAGGTTCTTATTTCTTCAGTTTCTTATGTTTTTTTAGAAGTAGAACCATACGTCATTAGTCCGCAGGGTGTTGTATACATGAGCAAAACAATGCCGTCTCATCTCTATTGTATAATAATACCATGTCATTCATTAACCCACATTTTGCGGGGAAGAAGTGAAAGCAGCGTAAGTGAACAACATAACATATAGGATTAATTGGAAATAGAGACGGGCCGACCCCCAGACTCCACTTTTGGCGACACTGCATTATATTTGTAATAAATTATCTTGACTTTATGATGGTATGCACACAATTTATTAAGAAATATCAATAATATTAGGTTTTTAACACTTACATTAGTAGAAAAAGATGGCTGGGCAGCAGGGATGGGAGTTGGTTCAGGCAGAAGGGCAGATTATGGCCCTCATCTGTATCACTTGTATCAATTGTATCACTATCCTACAGAGGCTTGCAGGGCTCTTTGTCAAACCCTCAGTCCATATCCTCACTAAAATTATCACTATCACTGACTTAGGCGGCTGTGGGTGGGTGGCAGGTGAAGAACTGGTAATGTTTTGATGACTGGGCGACATGCTTTCATGCTCGCCCGCTTACACAACATGGCGGGAGAGATGGCGGGAGGTTTGGATCCAAAAATGGGCTGTGGCCCGCTTTCTCATAAAAGGGTACTGCGCATGAGAATGTGAGCATCCTGGGTTCGGCAGGGCACGGCGTAAGCGTGGAAGCGGATATTGGGACGCGTAAGTGAGGGTTGACTGTATATAAACATAAATTCAATCAAATACATATGCAGCATCAATAATTTATCTTTTGTACATATTCTTAATAAGATAAAAGGCGGTTTCTTTAGGGAACAAGTATACATTGCTTTTCTTCCACTATCACTCTTTTTTCCTTTTTACATCAATGGTTACTTTTGATACATTAAATAACATGTTATCAAAACACACTTTTTTCATTAATTTTACTATAGCAATAACCAGGTTTTATTTTCTGGGTTTCAGATGGATAACTGACATTATAGGTGTTAGCTTACGGCAACAACAATAGCGTCCATCTCCTCTTGTGGGATATTATTATTGATTTATTGTATATATGTATAAGGTGCATTCATAAACATTATTTAAAGAATATAGTTTGGATTTTCATTAATTGTATTGTTTTGGGGTAAGAGGATAAAAATCCACACAAAGATATAAAGGTCACACTGGGAACACAACTCATATTATTGCATTATTTTAATGTTAATTAATGATTCATGATAGATGATTCACCTTGCACTGCAATATTGGAGGACACATTAGCGTTAGTTTATTGACTTTACTGTATTGCAATACAGTACAGGTATACTATAATGGTCCATCTATCTGGTATCAGAGATCTTTGCATACAAACATTATTTTAGTTTACTTTCTTCATTTTTTAACCATATTCAAAAATTGTAAGAAGGAAAAAACTTGCTTACTCCAAGTCCCAGACTATGAATGGTAAATCTTCATTATGACATACAGTATAAATTATAAAAACACATCTAAATACAGTGTATCTCATTCAACTAACACTAAAAGTATGAAAATGCTTTATGTGAAGATATCAAACAATTAACCTGTACAGTGCTGTGTATTTCATCATCGCCATCAACAACATTTTAAAGTGCATTTCTGACATTTATGTGGGTTACTCTTGAGTTACCTGATAACACCTCTCCATGCTATGGTCTCTTGAAACCTCTCTTGTCAAGTTCCTAACTCTTAAGCCATTTCTTACAACCTCTCTCCATGATCATTTCATGCCCTGCTCTGGCTCTCCTCCTCTCCATATTTAGATTCCTGCATCTCTTGACCCAGCTGGTCTCATCTATTCTTTCCCACATGCCCAACTCAGCTTACCTCTACGCTCTCTTGGCTCTGAACAAGGTTTCCTGTTCTTTCAGTGTCACATTGCGCATCCTCACCATTCTCATTTCAATTCACTCAAGCCTACGTGTCATTATCTATAACTGCTCATGTTTCAATGTCCTACAATATCACACTTCGTGCCAGTTTTTTATTATTATTATAATTTTTTTGATTACGGTATTATAATTTCAATTATTATTATAATTTTATTATTATTATTATTATCATCATTATCAGTGTTATTATTATTTTGTTTAATTCTTTATTTTTTATTATAAATTTTATTTACTATGAACTAATTATAATTTTTATTATTATTACATTTTTCGCTTTAACCCGATGTTGGGTCAGTGATCTGTGCTCGGTGGGCTAATCCCCATAAAAAAAATTGCATACATCTATCTCTTTTTCACACTGGAAGGTCCTCATGTTGTAAATAAAGGCAGCACTCCTAGCTTCCTCCAACCACTTCTGGCTCTTGCAACTGTGCTGGGGTCAGCACCACCTCCTGCACTGATCATGTTACCTAAAACTCATTGACACGGTACATCCTTAGGAATTCCACAATTACAAACTAATCTTTAATTTCAGTTGTTATGTATTATGCTTCAACATCTAAGGTCTTTAAGCCAATATGAAGACTATTCTTTAATAATAGAACAAAGCAACAAATATTATCTTAACTGGATGCCATAACAACATGTTGCAGTCAAAACAACAAAGAACACCTTCCATATACAGTACTGTAATTAATACTTGGATATCCAACTCACATATGAAAAACATATAACACATCTATAGTACAGTACAGTATGTAAATATTTACTCAAATGCCAAAAAATAATTATAAACTTAATTATATGAAATTATATATTGAATATAATGCTATACATTTAATTAGTGCAGTATTATAATACAGAAATATAACACAATATCACCTTAAGAACACCTGCCCAAACAGGCCAACATACAGGTATTGTACTAAGGAAATCACTATATTATAGAGCCAGGTCCCTCCTCTATATTACCCACATCCAAACAACTTCAATGCCCTCCACTCTATATTACCCACAACCAAACAACCTAATGCCCACCCCTCTATATTACTCACAACCAAACAACCATATCCCACCCACTCATACCCACAACCAAACAACCTTATGCCCACCACTCTATATTACCCACAACCAAACAACCTTATGCCCCCACTCTATATTACCCACACCAAACAACCTAATGCCCACCCACTCTGTTCCCACATCCAAACAACCTAATGCCCACCCACTCCTATATTACCCAACCAAACAACCTAATGCCCACCCACTCTATATTACCCACAACCAAACAACCTTATGCCCACCCACTCTATTACCCACATCCAAACAACCTTATGCCCACCCACTCTATATTACCCACAATCAAACAACCTTATGCCCACCCACTCTATATTACCCACATCCAAACAACCTTATGCCCACCCACTCTATATTGCCCCCAAACAACCTAATGCCCACCCACTCTATACCCACAACCAAACAACCTTATGCCCACCCACTCTATATTACCCACGTCCAAACAACCTTATGCCCACCCTCCTATATTACCCACGTCCAAACAACTAATGCCCACCCACTCTATATTACCCCCACAACCAAACAACCGTGTGCTTACCCACTCTATATTACCCACAACCAAACAACCTTATGCCCCCCACTCTATATTACCCACATCCAAACAACCTTATGCCCACCCACTCTATATTACCCGTCCAAACAACCTAATGCCCACCCACTTATATTACCCCACAAACAACCTTATACCCACTCTATATTGCGTCCAAACAACCTAACTCCACATACTGAAAAAAAAACTGCTTGTAGCATCGAAACAAGTTTCCATCACTAGTAAAAGAAACAAGCTAATACTATCAAAGGATTCATGATGAAAGTGTTACAGTCAAACAATCTACAGTGACCCATTGAAAGTAATTTCAATTGAAGAATTAAATTAACTATGAAATACATCTGGGGTGCATAATCTTGGATATAGCCTTGGAGCTGCTTTACTATGGGACTCCCACTCAGTGAAAGCACCGTGGGAGAGATTGTTATCAGATTTTTGGGAAAACACGTTGCAAACTTAATATTCCTCAGTAGACAAAAAAACCTCAATCCAACCTTAGTAGATTCTTTGGAATAAATTCCATGTTTTACTACTAGAACTAGGGAAATTTATAATAAACTTCATTAGGAGATAAGTATTCATACAAGTCCGTTCAGTCCAGGTGTAGCCCCCCATACCCTTCCTCTTGTGAGATAGTAAGTACTTCTTGACAGCACATGCCAGTAAATTTCTTTAAAAAAAAATTAAGTTAAACATGAGACCAGTTAAAAATAGCAAACCATCAAATAAAACTGACTGGATTGTTCTCCAGAAAAATGGCATTTCTTTAACATGGTGAGTACCTGTCAGTTCCCTAAACTGACATTGGGTCCAAATCAGCTTAACAGAATTATTCAGTCATTCCTAGCAGTGCACAAAGGCAAAAACCTAATATTAATCTATGAACATGGAGAAGCTGTGGATCAGTTCAAGACTTCTCTGGTGATGAATACAAAGGTAAAAGGATTTTATCCTCTATTCCACCTAAGGTAAGGGAGATTCAGTTGCTGGGGAGCCATTTGGGCAGTATGAAATGAACCCTTTAACCTAAGGAGCGGTACACCTGACAACTCTACTGTGGCTGAACTACGTGAATAAAGATTACCATGGTACTGTTGTGGATACTCTCTACAACTGCCGATTTGTAAACTACCAGCCACGACCATTGCGAGTTCCACAGACAGTCAACACCGGCCAACCCGGCGAGTTCCACAGACCAAGCTTCGCTTTGGGACTGCGCGGTGATTGGCCAGTTACCTCCTCACCTCAGCCAATCAGCGCCGCTCACTTCCGGCAGAATCGTATAATACCCCCAGCCTCGTCGTGAAGAGATTCTACTCAACGCTCTCAAACAGATAGACCTTTCAACAAGCTCCTCACCACTCAGCAACTCCTAGCACTGCATTGTACATATAATAAATTTTATATAAAACCCATTGTGAGTTTTCCTTCTCACCTCCATCCTTAGTCGAGATTTCCTACTGAGATTTCCTACTTGTCGTTATGTATGTGAACCTAACAAAGAGAATTTGGCAACTGTACATACACTAGGCAACAGCACTAACAACTCGTAATTATTTCATTCCGTGGTGAACTGTTGCTTCTGAAGATCCTTTTGGGACTTGGTTGTGAGGTAAGCATAATTAATTTAGAATGTCCTAGTCTATTATGCCTAATACTTAACCAAGGGTTTATAAACCAGGACTCATGGCTGTAATTCAAGTCTCCAAGTGAAGGACCTCAGCAATTAAATAAGCTACTGTACTATGTCTCACCTGCCTGGATCAGTAGACTTAGCACATGGAAGCTTGAGTTTGTTATTTTGTTAATGGCACTGGATATCAAATCCATTCGTATCCTGATTGGATCACTTCATCCCCATCTGAAAATTGAAAAGGCATTTAAAATTTAAGAAATCAAACTAGTGTTTACACTCATTCTTATATAGAGAAAGAAATAAAAATAAAATCATATGGAAAATTATTTTTTGGCTTATAATTTTGAGAAAATACTTTTTTTTAACTTGGTTATATACACATAGGGTTGCTAGCTCAGGTTTTAAATCCAAAATAGCACCTGGAAGATTTATACTGAGAAAAAGTGAGCCTGTACAGCTGGGGGGTTAATTGAAATATTTAAGAGATTTTGAGGCCATAGGATATGGGTATTTACATATCCTAAGGTCAACATAAATAACATCTCATTGGCATCATTAAAAGTATGCCCAATGATTTTATTCTGTTTTGGCCTTTTACTGTATACAGTACAGTGGTCCCTCATTAATGACGGTCCAATTTACAAAATTTCTTAACGTATCTATTCTCCCATAATGATTTTCAGTTCGATTAACAAAGCTCCACGAAACACGCTTTGTTGCGCGATCAGAGAACCGCCAAAGCATTTTTCGTAAGGTCCGGACATGAATTTTTGTCATTTTTGTCGACCCTGCAAAAAACGAAATTTTCGTAAGGTCCGGACCTGTCGTTCCGGCACTTTTGGCGAACCGGCCAAAAAAGCATTTTTCGTAAGGTCCGGACATGAATTTTTGTCATTTTTGGCGACCTCGCAAAAAATGAAATTTTCTTAAGGTCCGGACCTGTCGTTCCGGCACTTTTGGCGAAGCGGCCAAAAAAGCATTTTTCGTAAGGTCCGGACATGAATTTTTGTCATTTTTGTCGACCCTGCAAAAAACGAAATTTTCGTAAGGTCCGGACCTGTCGTTCCGGCACTTTTGGCGAACCGGCCAAAAAAGCATTTTTCGTAAGGTCCGGACATGAATTTTGGTCATTTTTGTCGACCCAGCAAAAAATGAAATTTTCGAAAGGTCCGGACCTGTCGTTCCGGCACTTTTGGAGAACCGGCCAAAAAAGCATTTTTCGTAAGGTCGGGACATGAATTTTTGTCATTTTTGGCGAACAGGCAAAAAATGAAATTTTCATAAGGTCCGGACCTATCGTTTCGGCACTTTTGGCAAACCGGCCAAAAAAGCATTTTTCTTAAGGTCCAGACATGAATTTTTGTCATTTTTGTCGACCCCGCAAAAAATGAAATTTTCGTAAGGTCCGGACCTGTCGTTCCGGCACTTTTGGCGAACCGGCCAAAAAAGCATTTTTCGTAAGGTCCGGACATGAATTTTTGTCATTTTTGGCAAACACGCAAAAAACGAAATTTTCGTAAGGTCCGGACCTGTCGTTCCGACACTTTTGGCAAACCCGCCAAAAAAGCATTTTTAGTAAGGTCCGGACATGAATTTTTGTCATTTTTGTCGACTCCGCAAAAAATGAAATTTTCGTAAGGTCCGGACCTGTCGTTCCGGCACTTTTGGCGAACCGGCCAAAAAAGCATTTTTCGTAAGGTCCGGACATGAATTTTTGTCATTCTTGTCGACCCCGCAAAAAATGAAATTGTCGTAAGGTCCGGACCTGTCGTTCCGGCACTTTTGGCGAATCCGGCCAAAAAAGCATTTTTCGTAAGGTCCGGACATGACTTTTTGTCATTTTTGGCAAACCCGCAAAAAATGAAATTTTCGTAAGGTCCGGACCTGTCGTTCCGGCACTTTTGGAGAACCGGCCAAAAAAGAATTTTTCGTAAGGTCCGGACATGAATTTTTGTCATTTTTTGCAAACCCGCAAAAAATGAAATTTTCGTAAGGTCCGGACCTGTTGTTCCGGCACTTTTGGCGAACCGGCCAAAAAAGCATTTTTCGTAAGGTCCGGACATGAATTTTTGTCATTTTTGGCAAACCCGCAAAAAATGAAATTTTCGTAAGGTCCGGACCTGTCGTTCCGGCACTTTTGGCGAACCGGCCAAAAAAGCATTTTTTGTAAGGTTCGGACATAGGATATGGGTATTTGGACATATCCTAAGGTCAACATTAAGTACTTTATCTCTTTGGCTTATCATTAAAAAGTAATGCCCAATGTGACACTTATTCTGTTTGTACTAGCCTATACTGTATACAGTACAGTGGTCCCTCGATTAACGAACGGTCCAATTTACAAAATTTCGGTTAACGAATTAGCTCCCATAAGGATTTTCAGTTCGATTAACGAAAGCCTTACGAGAAACACGTTTTGTTGGTCGCATCAGCTGATCAGCCAGTCCGCTAGTACAGTAATTGGTTATATGTTTACATTCGTTTCCAGTGGAGTAAATATGAAGAAAGTTGTGCTCTTGAATATTTTTGCATTTTTTATATTACCCAGTAAATTTATTGGTCATTCTAATTTAGTTAACATATTGATAATATATACAGGACAGGGAACAATTTTTGTGTGCCAATCAGCTGATTGAATCACCCACCAATGCTTCTTAGTTTAACTTTGTTTACAGTGGAGTGAACATCCAGTTTGTTGGTCTCTTGAATATTTTTATTTTATTTTTACATTAAATTTATTGGTCATTCTGAAATTTAGTTCACATATTGATAATATACAGTGCAGAAATTATTATGAAACATGAAGAAGGCATTAGAACCAATGCACTCTGTAAAGAATATGGCATGTCATCATCGACAGCCTCTACAATCAGCTTTTTGATATGTAAACAAAGCTGCCGGGAGTACGACATGCACACCTCAGAGTACCGTATATCACGGCCTATAAGACGAAATTTGAACATTAAAAAAATCTGCCCAAAGTTAGGGGGTCGTCTAAACCACCAAGTTTAAAATTCTTACCTCTTAAATATTGTGGTTTAGTGTGTCAAGAGTGGTGATGAAAACATCGTAAGCCACTCACAAGGTCTTACCACTAATTATTTTATACTGAAACTTACGTTTGGCAAGCTGGATTCAAATTAAGATTACCGGTATATTAAAATAATAAAAATGTATTATAAACCTGTCTAACATACCGTAAAAGAGATTTATACCCCTATAATAAACACAGCTATCATCACACACCCCTCCCCACGCCCCCCCCCCCATTTGCCAGTGAGGAGCCGTGGAGGTGGTCAGTAATGCATACCGGTATCGGTATATTTACTCATAATAATATTTATCTCCTATAAATAATTGATTTAAATTTTATTTTTTTACAAAGAATATTCAGTAAATGAGTGCATTAATTCTTGAAACTATCGACAGTTAATTACAGACGCTCAAGTGACGTCACTAGTGTTTACACTACACCAGCTGGTAATATTTGATGCCATTACTTGAAGTGAATTGGCCTTATTTTAAGTAACTAACTATAAATAAATACAAAAATTAAAAAAAAAGATCAAAACTGAGAAATAATATACTGTATGTATGTTGTGTTGTCAAAGTAAGAGGAACAATTGTGTAAGTACGTAATATTTTTTCACTCAAATCCTAATGAAACACTACTGGAGAACATTCCTTTGTCGCAAAACAGTTTATAAATTAAAGAAAATAATTACAGTGTGTTTAATATATTACAGTATATTATAAATAAATAAATAAAACAAATAATTCAGTAAATCTATTTAAAGTAAATGGAAAATAAGCAAACATGTTATTTACCAAGACCCTTCCGTCTGGCTCAGGGTGAGATGTAGGGGAGATAAAGAAGGCTATTTATAGCCCATCAGAAGTGACCAGTACCCTAATGCACCATAAATAATTCATTGAACATTCATTTTTTGTACATAGTATATTCAGTATATATATATATATATATATATATATATATATATATATATATATATATATATATATATATATATATATATATATATATATATATATATATATATATATATATATATATATATATATATATATATATATATATATATATATATATATATATATATATATATATATATATATATTTGTGTAATAAATGTATGTAGTAAGTACATACTGGTAACCTTTTTCACTCAAATCCTAATGAAACACCACAATTAGAATACGGTGGTTGCTGTTGAACCACATGTTGTATAAATAGTCACACCACCGAGACGAGGGAACACTCCCAACACGCTTCAGTGACGTCACTAGTGTTTACACTACACCAGCGGGTATAATTTGATGACATTACTTGAAGTGAATTGGCCTTATTTTAAAAAATCAAGGATGGTTGGTAAAGGACTACTGAGTCAGTGGGTAAGTGTCACATTTGGGGTACTGGTCTTATACAGCAAATAGAGCTCAAAAGCTACTTTTTAAATGGAAATTTGGGGGGGGCGTCTTATGCACCCCGCCGCCTTATAGGCCGTGATATACGGTAAGTTAAAATACAGTACGTGTACTGTTTTTTATTTATTATTGTAGAGTATACTGTACGTACAGTAGAGTACTGTATTGAGTTTATATTTAATGTTTTGTTAACTATATTACTGGTATACAGTACTTTGTATGTACTTTTTCTGTGAGTTGGATTTGGTTCCCTAACCCCGTCGTAAGTCGGGGACTGCCTGTATACAGTACATTTTTCTCGTTATTCATAAGGGAAATTTCGTAGTTATTCAGATATATAATACTTTAAAGTATTTAACAGTCATATCAGTGAAAACAGTTGTCAACAACCTGACTTAGTCTGATTTTCAACTCGGTTCTCTCTCAAATATTTTTTTTATTGTTGATGAAATAGTGTTTTACTAACATTGTTATATGCTTAAACACCCTAGTTATTGAAGCGCAGTGATAACACGTTAACAGGAACTTATTTTCTTGAAACAGTCCAGAAAAGAATTTTCCAGACTGGGGCCTGCTCCAATTAGTCTGGTTTAAGAAAGAGCCACATTGAAGCTAGCATAGCTCAGGCAGGAGGAACTACAGTAACTCCTGACATTTTCATGTGAATTCTATATTAGCAAAAAAAATCAAAATAGCCCAAATCATAAAATTGAGAATATCAAATTACTAGTGATCAGCGTACAGCATACAGGTGGATTTGGCATCCTGTGTAACGCCGACAAGGCTGTGGGCTCGTAGCACTCGTCTTGCCTGCATTGCCCACCGTTTCTCTCTGGATGTTGGACACACTAAAATAACCCGTTATAGTACCTCCTTCTTTCCTCACACAGCCAAACTGTGGAATGCTCTGCCTTTTTCTGTGTTTCCACACTCATACAATGTCTCACTTTAAAAAGCTAGTTTTCCGGCATCTTCGTTGAGTAGATTAATATATTCTCTTTCTTTTCTATTGTTAATTTCTTTCTACGTATTCTTATTGTTTCGCCCCCTAGGCCCTGTTGTGGGTCGTTCGACCTGTGCTCAGGTGGGCTAATTCCCATAAAAAGCTATATATATATTCAATATACAGGCAGTCCCCGATTTACGACGGGGTTAAGGACCCAAATCCAGGTTGTAAGTCGAAAATGCAAAAATAATACATAGAAAATCTAAAATGGGTGTCTCTTTTTCTTCTCAGCACCACAAAACTCTCACTTTTAAGCTTGCCAGCCATTTTAAAGGGAATTACAAATTAAAATTTTGTCAGTACACAGCGCAATCACTAACGTCGGGACTCAAAATAAGTAATTTGACAAAATTTTGGTACGACTGCGGCGGTCATATGTCCAGGTGGTTGTAAGTCGAGGAGTACCTGTATGTAATTTCGGTTTATGCGAGGGTTTACAGGAACACATCCCTCACATATACCTACTGCATATAAGTTAGCACATCTTTTTTCAGCTTCGGGATCAGCAGTGAGGTGCTGCTAAACAAGGGGAAACAGCAGAACACAGAGGGCAAACAACAGGTTCAAATGGCAGGGCAGTAAACAATGAGCACAGCACAGTACTATTCTGTACTCCTTAATAATAATAATAATAATAATAATAATAATAATAATAATAATAATAACCAGTACCCAAAAACCCATTGAAACAATGGTTTCGGTTAACGAACGTTTCGGTTAACGAACGACCTTCTGGAACGGATTGAGTTCGTTAACCGAGGGGCCACTGTAATAACAAAAATAATAATAATAATAAACAAGCTTGTTATAAGCGGTTTCAAAATTAAACAACAGATTTATTGACACCATACTTCCATGTAAACGATGTGGTTCAGAGTTAAACAATTTAGTCAGCACAGGCACGATAGCACTACAAGTCTCCATAATTATATGTCCAAAGCTCTGTGCAAAGATTGTTGTGGTGAACTTCAGGTCCTCAAAAGACTGGCCTGTAGCAACAAAACGAAAAGTACTGGAAAGTCTTTCACTTGCAGATATTGCATCTCTCATCTGTGTGTTCTCCTTCCTTATGAGTGACATAAGCATCCCCAACAAATCAAGAAATGTTGCATTGTCTATACGTAGGAAGTTCTTATAGTCTGCAGGAAAAGATATTACCATTTCCTGTAGAAGGCTCTCGTGTGTGAACTTTGGTCTTTTGTTATGCCACTCCTTCCACACCTTTCTTTTTCATTTTTTCGCTCCATGGTCTCTAGAGCAAGGATAATGGCAATACATGCGGCCTCCATAATCATCTTGACTGGGCGCGCCACACACGATAACTGACAATTGCAGTCTCGTTACTAGTGTGTGGGCAAAACCAATAATTGCACAATCAAGGTGATTGTGCAATCGTGACTGACCGTCTATCGAGGGGGCTTAAATAATTGGGATATCAAGGAAATAAATATTTGAGTGTCTACATGCAAGTGTGATTATGATCATACAACTTAGTCTGTACAGATTTTATGTGCAACATTTACTTGTACTGGGTAAGTGACATTTGAAATTTACTTGCCTAGAATTTTTTTTTTACTTGCCCTTACAATAAAAAAATTGCTTGCCTGGATTTTTTCATGAAAAAAGTAAATAAATGCTTAAATAATTCAAATTTATTGTGTGTATCATTCCACAGATCAGATGTATTTGTCTAAAAATGGTGTCAGTGGCAGTAACACTCGTCATGTGATGTAAAACCATCAGCTCACCTCACACCTGCAGGGTGTGGGATGGCATCTGTGATCACCAACCCTAACTACCACGCCCCTGCCCCTATAATCTGGTGTTAGTGGCAGTAACAATTGTCATGTGAAGCCATAATAACTGACAGCTCACATCTACAGCCTCTCAACTTGGAGTTCCTTTGAAACATTGACAACTTGATACCAGCTGACTACAGGTGAGTTGGTGGCCCAATGTAGAGATAAATTACCTGCACTTGGCACAGGTTCCTAGTCTTGGTACAGTACACTGATGACAAGCAGACCATTGAAAGACCTCACTAGTTAAACATGTACAGTACAGGGAGGTGGGGTCACGCAGCACCTGACAAATTCCCCAAGTATTTACCTTGCCCGCTGGGAAAGTGCCAAGCAGATGGACATGAAGAATCACTTGCCTGGCCCTAGTCCAGGCACTGTTAATCTGCACAACCTGATACAACTATTACTAACCCCATTTGGATACCAATCCAACTCTGTTTCATAAGTGGAGGTATGATAGTACCTAAAACTGTCAATTCGTTTGCTCTGTGTAATGACCAATTAAATATCAAGGTTATATTTTATGACAAGATAGGCAGGATTGTTAAAATACCCCAAAATTTATAATTTCGGTGAATTGTCATAACGAGGATACAATACCACTAAATTAACATCAAATAAAGTTAAATTTTTCTTTTTTATATTTTCAAATTTGTTATGCTGTACAGTAGGCTACAGTATACAAAACTTATACTTTCACAAAGGCCAATGATGATGACAAAATTGATCTTCATTACATCTAAAAATTGAGTTTTGTATACTAACCTGGTACACAAAGACCTTTGTGGGGAAAACACCCACAATTATCCTGCCTATTATAGCCAGTGTTGTGGGCCAATTGTTCCAAGGTCAACGTTTCTGCTAGGCCTGATACTCCTACATGCACAGTCAACTGAAATGCAAGTAAAAATGCATATCATGAGGTTCCAGGTACTCATAACAAGTATAAACTATAGCATGCCTTACAGGCGAAAAAAATTACATTTAAATTAAAACATACTACATAAAAACAAAAAACAAAACAACATCATATGTTAATGGAAAGGCAGCGACTTACTACTAATGATTTTTTTTTAATTTCTAAAGAAGACGAGACAGATTCAGACTCCTCAGAGAGTGTATCACAATTAAATTACAAGTAATGTTGGATATGGATTGATTGACTGATTGATTGGTTGTTGTTGTTGGATATGGAGGAAATGAGGACAGTGGAAGTGTAGATGGTGATCATAAGGAATTTCAGCCATAGCCAAATTTACGAGACCTTCCACAATTACTGTGTGGGACTGTGGTACAGATAAACCCTGGCCTGCCTAATGTGGGTAGGCCTGCATCAGACAGACTCTGTGGTACAGACATACAGTAGTTATCCGTCACTAAATTGACTTCATACCAAAAACTGGGACAAATAAAATATTAAAAGTGGAAGGTGTTAATATTCATCAATCAAAGGGTCAGGGTTAGTGTTTTTTTTATCCAAGTCAGATTTATTTGAATTTTGTCCAAGTTCAAGATACGCATTTTCTTAACAGTAATATATGCTGTTGCTCTATGGAAGCTTAATGATATTCAGATAACATGGCAAGTTATGAATTACTCTCCTTAGTCATTGTATAGTACAGAGCAAGCCCCACTCCCCCATGTTCGTGGATTTTTATTTTGCGGTCCTCTACTATTCGCGGATGACACCCTAGATGTACGCAAGAATGTCTGTGGGTAGTTTTAAAGTTGTCAGTATTTTCGCGGCTGGGACAGGGAGCCATTAGTTCCAGACAGTAATTTCCTTTACCTGTATTGTAAATATGTGCGTGTGTGTGTAAACGACACAAACAAATAAATAATAATTGGAAAATCCTCTCACAAATAATCAGAAATAAATTTATTCAAAATATGAGTCTACCCTCAAGTCCGTGCTTTATTATGTACTTTATTAATAAAGCACAGACTTGAGGGTACTCACATTTTTTTATAAATTTGTTTCTGATTATTTGTGAGAGGATTTTCCAATTATTATTTATTTGTATGTGTTTTGTGTATGTGTGTCTACACACACATATATACAATAATACAATACAGGTAAAAGATGTAATTGTTCTAAAGGAAAACACAAAGGGAATATAAATTTTTTGTGCACAAGTAAAAATGTACCCCCCCCCCCACAAATGCTATTCGCGGCCATTTAGAGAAACTAACCCCCACGAATTTGGGGGGCCCCATGTATACATATTAGTAAATTATGATATAAATTTTTTCATCTAACAACTATTGCAAATGGTAAATACATGAGTCCGTCACATAATGATTATTTTTTCAATCAACCAACCCTGCAGAGTGAAGCCCATTATGTCAGTACAGTCATATGGTCACTAACAAGAGGTGTCTTGTAAACAATGAAGCCCACCTGCTAAATGCATTTGTTTCATCATGTGTTTTCTCTGAAGGATGTTACTCGGTGCCATTAACTGATTATTAACATAAAATTTGGGGACAATAGATGATGCATTAATGTGCAACCATAGAAATATTTATAATTAAAAATTACCCATATTTCCCCAAAAGTTTGTTACACTAACCTAAGTTTAAAGAGAAGATAATGCAATATACAGTGGTTCCTCGGTTAACGAACACAATTCATTCCAGAACGTCGTTCGTTAACCGAAACCATTGTTTCAATGGGATATTGGGTAATTGGTTCCAGCTCACAGAAAAGTATATACAAAGTAAAGCCAAAAATGCATAAAGTCAGAAACACTCCTAAAATTCCCCTAAGTCATGCGCCGGTTAACGTCCAACCGAACAACGTCCAATCGCATATACATCCGTAGCCCATGATAAAAAAAAAAAAAAACACCCTCACACACCCTTCACACCAACACCCTTCACACCTCCCTCACACCAACACCTCCCTCACACCAACACCCTTCACACCAACACCTCCCTCACCAACACCCCCTCACACCAACACCCTTCACACCAACACCCTTCACACCAACACCTCCCTCACCAACACCCTTCACCACACCTCCCTCCACCAACACCTCCTCACCAACACCTCCCTCCCACCACCCACCTCCTCCACCACCACCCTTCACCAACACCTCCCTCACACCAACACCTCCCTCACACCAACACCTCCCTCACACCACCACCCACCTGCTCCACCACATAACACCTTCCAACACCCTTCACACCAACACCCCCCTCACCCCAACACCCTTCACACTGCCTCCCTCACACCAACACCTCCCTCACACCACCACCTCCTCTACACCAACACCTCACACCACCACCCACACCTCACACACCACCACCCACACCCCCCACACCCTTCACACCCCCCTACCCCAACACCCTCACACCAACACCTCCCCACCCAACACCCCACACCAACACCTCCTCACACCAACACCTCCCTCACATCACCACCAACACACCCACCACCCACACCTCCCTCACACCACCACCAACACTCTCAACATCACCACCACTTCTACACCCACCACACACTTCCCCCACATCACCCAACACTTCCCTCACAACCACCAACACCTCATCCATCACCACCGACACCTCCTCACACCACCACCGACACCTCTCACCTCCGGTCACTTCATTAAATTTATAAGCAAAAACAAAAACTCAACCTAAAGGACATAAATTAACAATTAAATACTTCACACCACAGATGCCAATTGTCAAACATGTCACCTCACCCCCTCCTCAGCAAAGGTTTCTTGGTTATACAATAGACTTTAAGTTTGTATCTTATATAAAAATCACAGACTAAAGTTGGTAATAACATTGCAGATAATTTGAATATATCATATATTTTGCACAAAGAAAAAATTTTGCTCTCAAATAAAATTTTAAATTAGATCTAAAATTTGTATGTCATGTAATGCTTGTTTATTCAAATTAATCGCTGTCTTGTGGTTTCAGCAATGTAAATTATATTCTCCCGGTCACTCAATGAAAATTTATGAGCAAAAACAAAACTGATTTAAACACAAATAAACAAATATCACCAGAGTCACTAACTGTCAGCACACACCTCCCTCTCCATCTGCCCAGCCAGGTGTTTTTATTAATACAGTATCCATCAAAGTAGAGAGAATATAATCACATTGCTGAGTCCTTGCAAGACAGTGAGTAGTTTGAATATAAACGCTATATATTTTGGTAACGATAAAAAATTTTGCTCTGTAATAAAATTTTTAAATTAGATCTAAAATTTGTATGTCTAAAGCAAATTATAGCTTGTTTATATTCAAATTGGTCACTGTCTTGTAAGATTTCCAGCAATGTTAATTATATTCTCCCAGGTCATTTCACTGGCATTTTAAAATGAGAGAAGATTAGTAGGACTGTTAAATAAACACACAGAGACCTTCCGCTCAAATTGTCAAACACATCACCTCAACCCCCCCACGCCGCCAGGCAGGGTTTTAGGCTTACAGTTTTTATCTTATATAATATCTCAGACTAAAGTTAGAGATTATAATTTGCATTGCTGGAACTCTTGCAAGACAGCTAATAATTTGAATATAAACGCTATATATTTTGCTCGAGATAAAATTGAAGTACATTAGTGTACAGAACTGTAGTACATTTTATAATATAAAGTTTTCAACTGTATTTTTGGGTAGATTTACATAAATTTCTTCATTTATTTTCATCCATTTACATGCACACACCATACTAAAACAAACGTAAAAGAAATAAATGACCTTAGTGCAAAGCTGGAGTGTACATGTACTAATTTGATTACGGTACTAAAATTGTTATGTCTAGTGCAAATTATAGCTTGTTTATATTCAAATTAATCACTATCTTACAAGAGTCCCAGCAATGTAAATTATATTCACACAGGTCACTTCACTGGCTTTTTATAAGAGAGAAGCTTAGTCACTTAAGAACTGATAAATAAACAAGCATTAGACCTTGGGCGCCAACTGTCAAACGACTAATCACCTCCCTCCGCCCTCCCCACGCTCCCTTGCTCGCCATCCCTCCTCCCTCCCTCTCCCATCTACCCAGCATTGCTGAAATCCTTGCAAGACAGCTAATAATTTGAATATAAACGCTATGTATTTTGCAGAGATAAAATTAATCACCTGTATCACATTACAGTAGTGATTTAATACGAGTGTATATGCACGTACAGTGACCTCCGCTAACGAACTCAATCCGCCAGAAGGTCGTTCGTTAACCTAAAAAGTTCATAACCGGAACATTGTTTCAATGGGTTTTTGAGTAATTGGTTCCAGCTCACCGAAATTTCCTAAATTCAACAAAAATGGTAGAAAAGTTCACTTACTTTGAGGTGTGTATGAAGACCCTGGATGATGATGATGATGGGATTTAGAATGGGGTGGAGGAGAAGGACTAAGAGAAGGCATTGGGGTGAAGAGAAGTCACCCCACATGCCATTTCACCAAATTTTAGCTCTCTTGTAATTCAAGATTATTTTCTTTAAATCAACACTGCACTGCATTATATATTGTCAATATGTAAAATATATTTCAAAATGACCAATAATTTGCTTGGAAACAGAAAAAAGCTTAGTTGAAGAGAGTCTCAAGATGTTACCCAGTGAAAACAGAGAGAGACTAACTCCTGTTTGCTGTGTTAAGAGGCTGATCCCACGATAAACTAGTCACTTTACCTTCAATTATGTTCAATTATTGTTAAAATGGCTAAAAATTGAATATTAAACTTTTAAAATTATTGAATAGTATAAACTTTGATATTTACTAAAGTAAATTACAATTTATTTAATGATTGGTGGACTGATACTAAAGCTGGTTGCCCGGTCAGTAAGCGAAAACATGTTGAGGTCGGTTCATAAGAACTTCGTTAACCTAATTTTTTTTCAGAACCAAATTTTTTTCG